TATTTTAATAACCAACATCAGTTCCACAGTAGTACTGAAAATGAATGACAGCCAGAGAACTATAAAGATTTTCTACACAGATCTGATACAGGTCAGTGTGCAATCTGTTCACATTTATACAGGCTTGGGGTTTCATTTAAACCTACTACACAGACAAGGGTAAACATTCACTTTCTAACGATAGAGCATGACTTCAGAGACATGCTAGGCATTTTGTCACACTTAGAATTCCTCCAAGGTATTCTCAGTAGATGCACTGTGTTCACCACTGTAAAAACTGTGGCAGCCTTGAAGAGCATGAGGCCTATGACCCCACCAACATCTGGCCTACCTCTTGGCAAATGCCTGGGTGGGGAAAAAGTTCATCTCGCTATTATTAGGTGCTTAATTCTTGCAAAGATGCTAGGAAGAAACAAGAACTACATTTGTTAAAAAAAAAAAACCCCAACAAACAAACCAAAAAATACCTTCCCAGGAGATTCTTCTTATTCTACTAATGATTCTCCATGAATCTGGTTATGGCAAGTCCTAGCCATAGTCTGGCTCTCAGTATTTTGAAAACTCTAGTAAGAATTTGTCAACTTTTACTGCTTGAGGAAATGTCTGTAAAGTACAATATGTTTTACTGTAAGACAGGCAGGCAGACATAACTAGATAATATTTTCAGCGGTTATTGCTTGGTACTTTTAGAGCACCAGTCACTCTATGCAATAAGTTGGTCAAACATCAAGTCAAAGGTCTGTCTGAACCTAACAGCTTAACGTAACTGAGGGACACTAGCTTTTGAAGCCAACAGCACACAAGGGAACAATGTTGAGCTGCTTTAAGTTCCCCATCCTGAATGACTGATCCCCAAGGGTAAGGTAACACAGTTGTGGTGGGGAAAAAGGCAGTGGCACAAATCTGGCCCGCTGCTTTTTGCCCTGGCACACGCCCCTGTATGTGGGGTTAGCGCGTGGAAAAATGCTCTGGGTGGGGTAGGGGAGGCTGGGGCCAGAACCTGGCGGTGTCAATTGCCTCAGGAGGTGGCAATCCAGGGGTGTGGAGCCTGGCTGGCTGCTGAAGCATGGCTCTGGCCGGGCAGGCTTTTGTTTCGGGCAGCACATGCTGCTACATACAATGTGTGCTGCCTTGATTTTTTCTGGCACAGGTTTTTTTTTGACACTCGGATCTTGCCACACTGCACATTAGCAGCATGGCAAACACCCACATGTGCAGTGCATGAGGTTTGCAGCACCGCAGATGGAGTGCTGCAAACTACACAAACGCTTGTCTGGATGCACCCCAGATGTCCATTTATGACTAGGTCCGCTGGGGGTGGCAGTTTTCAGCAGAAATCAAACACATGTCTCTGAACCCCTAGAAAGACACCTACACCACTGTTACCACAGTAAGACAGTAGGAAATTGAAAAGGAATAGATGTTATGTCAATGATGTCTTACCATGAAGTCATTCCCAAGCAGAACATGATTGTACTATGACAAGTTTTAGTGATATGAAGAAATGGGGATTTCTCATCATATAACGGAGAAATATGCAGTCAAATGGCATGACAGAACCTACCCACGTCTAATGAATGGATTTAGAAGAAAGTGATTCTGTTGACATGATGAAATGTGAACATAAATGAACTATCATGATGCGCTAGGTGAAAATGAGAAAGATACAGATATGAAGGCGTACCACTGGCACAGTCTGCGAAGTTGCAAAGGCAGGCAGTTCTCACTAGGTGTATCTACATGTGCACTTTACTGTGGAGTGGACTAATTAGCTTAGCAGTAAAGCATCACTGTCTGCACATGCACTGGTATTAGGGCACAGTAAATAAAATTAACTCTGCCATAAGATTGTACTGCTGGGGACAGTACTGTCTTATGGCAGAGTAATTAAGTGCAATCAAATGCACATATAGACAGTGATGGGCTGGCTAGGGCATAAGGGTGTCAAAGTATGAGGGCTTCCTGCTGCATAACTCCACACTTTAGTGCTCTTGTGCCCCAGCCAGCCCCTCCACTGCCTGACGCTGCCACCCAGAGCCTGGGGCTGACCCCCAAGCCTGCTGCCAGCCCGGGGCTGCTCTGTAGGGGTGTGCAAAGTGGGCAGCATTCAATTTAGATTCGGCCTGATTCAGGGGACACCGATTCGATTCACTGATTCAGATCACTGTCCCAATTCAATTTGGCTGAATCTGAAGATTCGATTCCAGTCCAGGAATCAGCGATTTGGTCATAGACACAGCTTTATATGCTTTTTCTACGTATCTCAAAGTACCAGGTGCAGCTCGTGAATGCTAAGATGGTAGGGCAGATGGAGCGTCCCATGGGAGCACAGGGCGAGACCCCCATGCGCTCAGCGGAGGACCCGGAAGTGGACCGGTTGTATTTCTGATCCACTTCTGGGTCCACTGCTGAGCGCGTGGGAAACCCCTCCACACTCCCATGGGACACTCCATCCACCCCACCATCTAGACATTCGCAAGCCATGCCTGGTACCTCGAAGTACACAGAAAAAGCATATAAAGTTGTGTCTATGTCTGAATCGGAGGCTTCCAATTCGATCTGGAGAGATTAATGGGTCTCCTGATTCAATTTTGATTCAGAGATTTGGCCACCAAATCGGGCTGAGTCTCCTCCGAATTGAATCAGCAACCAAAGCTTTGCACAACCCTACTGCTCTGCCCTGGCTCAAACTGCTGCTCGAATTGCTCCAGTTTATTGTGTTGCATTAATTTCACATGCAGATGCACCCATTGCATGCAAGAAAAGCATGTGCTTTTTAAAAACTTAGAGGATCACGAGTTTCAAATAAATAAAATGTTTCCATATGCAACTTTTATTCAACACTCTCAACTTTCATTCAGTCTCCTATTCCCAAAGACAGTGCTCTTGACAAATCAGTTCCCATTTTATACATGAAAAAATGTGCAGGTATGTTTTAAATGCTAATAGCTACTGAATTACACAGACATTGATAACAGGATTAAAGCAAATTTGAAGCAGAAGACAAATTAAATAATAAGCAAGTCTGCTGATAAGTGCATCAAGAAAGAGGTAATCCCACATCTACAATTATATTTCAAATAATTTCTTTTAAGAGACATTGTTAAAAGGCTTAATTCCTGTATTTGATCTACCTCAAAGAGTGATACAATCAAGTGGGGAATGTTCAACTGGATGACAAATCAGTATTTTTTTTCCTTGTTTTTGAAATCCAGAAACAACCATTTTGCCAAAATGAATAAAGGCTGATGGCCAGGGTGGGCATGATTGCTTCCCTAAAGCTAGGCTTTTCCACCCACATATTGGCACCTAAATAAAATGGCCTGACATAAAGAATTGTTCAGCATCCACAAATCTAGTCGATAGGAGCTGTGCCTTTGAAAAATCAGGCAACTTTATCTGCATAAATATGGATTTAGAAGCCTAGCTTTAGGAGTGCTGCTTAACATGTGTGGAATATTTATATACATTGCTTTTGCTGGCTTTTTGCAGCACTTAAACTACCAAACACTATTCCCAGAGTTGGACTGATTTTACCAGAGAGGTTCATGAATCAGCAATTAACCAAATAGAAACGTACTATTTTAATCTCCTTTTGAAGCCCAGGAGAAAGAACACTCAGTAAATGGAAAAAAGCATAAAATGGAAGGCAAAAAATATTATTTTAATGGAAAAAAAAACATACAAGTGGAAAAAAAATCCTGACATAGAAGTTGTCATTGAAAGAAGATTAAAGGGGGAAAAACTAGAATTCAGTCTAGATTGCAGAGCCTAATTGACCAAGAGCCATCCAGAGATAAACAAAATGTATTCCTTTTATTTTGTAGTACAAAAGAAGCCGCATCCATCACCTGAAATAGAAAGCCAGTAAAATGAATTTAATTAACTTTGAAGGGCTTCATTTTTCCTCCCTCAGGTATACGTAGAAGCAGCAGCTTAATTGAATGGATGTTTGGTAGAATATTGGGAGGAGTATCAACATCTTCAGGTTTCATCTGCTTCAAGGGTCACATCCTACAGAATTTAATTAGAATTGACTTGAGCTACAAAAGTTTTGGTCAGTATTAAGATTCAAATACACTGAGAGCAGAGAGACCTTTGAGCCTTTTGGAGTCTAGCTTACAGGGGGGAACTTCAAAAAACTTTAAAAATGCCATTTAGATTTCAGAGAGCACACAAAATGTATTGCCCATTTGTATTTAGACTTGTAATACTTTTGTTGATTCTGGAACAATATCGAGGGAAGATTTGGGGGCTCATGGATGAGATCTGCAAGGAGTATATTCAGAAAATGCGTAATTTAGAACTAAAAAGCCTCCCTTCTGTGGAAATGCAATATTGATACACACTTTGACCAAAGAAGGATGTTCTCTGGGGTGAGACAGGGCACAAAGAATCAAACTCTGAACTCTTTTACCAACTGTCTCATTTCAGACTTCAGACAAGTCATCTGGGAGCATGCTACATGACCAGGGCACTCTTCTCCTCACGCAATCAGAGCCTTAATTATTCTGCATTTCACGCAGGGAAACTAATCCTTAAATTGCGGACTTTATTTCACTAGAACAAATTCTTCAGAAGTGGTCACGGACAAATGTGAGACCACCCCCTCGGCATGATTTTCAAGGGTGCTGGAAATCTACATTTTCCATTACCTTTGGTGAAAGCTGTATGCACTCATAATATCTGCCTGGGATTGGCCACCTAAAACTGAAGTACCTACAATAAATAACTACATAAAATGGTTGGCCTTGCCATTTTGATATGCTATGCAAGTACAAAGTATCATTATTACATTAAAACTAGTTTAATATGCTAGCTAGCAGGACATGTTTCTATTAAGTAGCAGGACATACGTATAGTATTTTGCATAATTTCTTTAGTAGTGATTCAATCTTTTGAGGAAATAACATACCTAAATCAGCGCAACGTCCCTGGAGAAATGAAAAAGATGTACCTTGAAATCTGCAGCAATGTTTCAGAGATGGGTCCTGTCTTACCTTGACATGGTGAATAAGATGTTCTACTTCATTCACTTTATACGTCTCTAATCCTAGTTCTTTGGACAACCGCAGAACACGATTTTGTGTTGGTCCCACATATGCTCCTCCAAGGTCCACATATTTAACTTGCTTATTCTGGTTTATCAAAAGACAAGAAAAAAAGATAAGTAATTTCTCAATACATTGTAAGATAATATTATTTTTAACAGAGAGAGTTTCTCTGGATTATATATGTGTGCATGCATGCGCACGCACATAATCCAGGGGTTAGCAACCTTTCAGCAATGGTGGCCCAAATCAATACATGTCAGTCCAAAAGCAGGCTGCCACTTGCAACCCAGCTATAAGCACTCCCTCTCCACCACTGCTGAACTACCACCCCCAGCACTGAATGCTACCAACAGCCCAGCTCCACAGACCAACTCTAAATATTATTTGGCAGGTCAGGTTTCTCCTGCAGGTTGTAGACTGCTGACCTCTGACAGAGATGAAAAATCTGCATGCTGTTCTCTTTACCAAGCTCTTGCTAACATCTCGCTAGCATCTCTCCAAGGAATAGTGGCTTTGCCCCACATGTAATCCTCTTTTCCTTTCACATGTCCCAGGGGGAAGGGAAGGGAAGGATTGATGGTTTCACAGATCTCATGAAAATTTTGTGTCTGCATAGAAACTCCACATTCTCCCTGCCTCTGATTTTGTATTGCAAGGCACATTCATGCCTACCACTGCCTGGAATCCCAACCTCAAGACAGGTTCTCCGGTATTCAGGAGAAATCAGTGCAGTATTTCATACAAGATATTTAGGTCTGTGGCTTCAGAGATAATTACCCTTGCAGTGAAAGTTCTTCCTCCGACCCTGTCCCGGGCTTCCAATACAATGACACTCAGCCCAGACTCAGCCAGCAACTTGGCTGCTGACAGACCTAGAGGACAAATGAGAAATAAATATTTAACATTCTTAGTAAATACTAATTCTGAATGCAGTATTCTGTAGCCTTGCATACTTCAGGAGCTAGTAACAGGCATCATGAATTTGGGATAAAGAGCTCTTCAGAGAAAAAAAGAACCTCAAAAAATAACTGAAGACAAGTATAAAAAAAAGAGTTAATGATCTGATTTTCATAATTACTGTGTGCTGTCAGCTCCCACTGACTTCATCGGGGTAGTATATTTGTTCAGCCCCTCTGAAATATGGCTGAACATATCTTCAGCAATAAAGAGTGTTATCTTGTGTAAGGAGTATAGGTGTTGTTCCTATCCATTGAGTTGCATGTATATACAACATATATATACATACATATATACACACACATATTTATATATATAAATATACAACACAGTAATACAGTGGTATATATAATCTTATAACATGCAACATATTCATTATTACATTGTATAATACATACAATATACATATATACAGCTCATTGCATGGGAGGAAAATTGCTCTGTTCTAAAATTTCAGCAAAAGTTTCCCCACCTTAACAAAAAGATAAAAGAGGAATGAAGCTTTTCCTAGGCTTGTTCTAATTTTGGAGGTTTCAATAAAGCCTCTGCTCTGTTTCGTCCTTTTCAATCTGAGGACATTAATATTTGAGTGACGGTAATACAAAGTCAGACACGTGCACATTTCTGGCTCCAAAGAGCCTACAATCCAGCTGAAGACTGGGCAGAACATGTGGCAGAAAGTGAGAGGAAAAAATCAGGGCTTTAATACTCAAGAATACATGGTTTCAGTCTTCATCCCTTTGCTTTATATTTAGCAACTGCCTCTTACTTTGGGCACCAGCAGGGCAAGCAGTGAGTACACCTACACAAGATGTTAACTGCGCAGTAGCCTAATAATACTGCTCAGTAGCACATCATAGCACAAACAGTGCTAATGCACTACTGCACAGTATTATTAGGCTACTACGCAGTAGCGTAACTAAAACGGCATGCATCGGTACTACTGTGCAGTAACTCCATTTACTACTCAATAATTTAGTACTTGATTATACAAGTACTAAATTTAATGTGCAGCAGCCGCTGTGCATTAATGAACATGTAGACACACCCAGTGTGAATACGGGAGGCTCTCTGCTCTTATTGCTAGCACCCGAAAGCCTCAGAAATCGAGAACAATTTCAAGGAAAGCTGAACTACTTTGATTACTCTATAAAGTGTAAATCTACTCTGCCTTCTATTTGACTTCAGACTAACATGGCTAATATATATCACTAACAGAGCAAAACTACATAAAATACTAAATGGGAAGTTTGTAAAATGGCTATTGCCCTTTTATATAACTGGATTAAGGACTAAAACATATTTACTACTACTACTACTAGGCAGTGTGGTCTAAGTGGTTGAACCACTGGGCTGAGACTCAGGACATTTGGGTTCTATTCCCAGTTCTGCCACTGTCTTGCTGGGTGACTTTGGACAAGTCATGTCCCCATTCTGTGCTTTAGCTTCTTCACCTGTCATATGGAGAAAGTGATGTCATTATCATTGGGAAAGCACTTTGAGATCTACTGACATAAATGCTGGGTATTACAACATTATGTATTAACATTTCATTTTATATACTAGGTGGTTTCTTGAGGTTACTGCAGCTTTTCAGTTAAGTAAATGATTCTCCAAGAGGTTCTACCAAAACTGTTAAATTTGACCTTCCTCATAAAAGTAACAACCTGCCAAGAGACAGCATATTGTGAAAGACAAAAATATTCAATGTATGCAAATATCGTCCAGGACTTCAAACTGTTTCCATCCACAGATTGATTTCAGAAGGGAATGTAGGCAATAAAACACTAAACAAACACTGATTAGCGCACAGAAGAAATGCAGTGTCCTTCAAAAGATCAGTAAACTTTGTTAAAACAAGAATCAATTCTATCATTAATCATTTATGAAAATGACCATACTAATCAGGAAGGCAGCTCCATTTCCCTATCATGCTGTCGGGCATGGTCTTCTTATTTGTCCTGTGTTCTCTCCATCCATTCGCTGCAACCTTCTGTTTACTCTCCCCTTATATTTTGATTGTAAACTCTTTGCGGCTAATGCTAAATTTTGGCAAGTGTTAGTATGGCTTTCCAAGTTCTCCCACCCAAGTATCCAGTAGGCTGAGGACTGTGTAGTTTTCAAGATCATATGAGGGCAGGGGCATTCAGTCTGCATGGCTGCTCAGACTGCATACAACCAATTACTACTAGTATTTCAGTTAAACATCTAAGAATCTACTCAAATAACTGATTGAAAATACTACATAAAATAATTATTACCCAGCTTGTATATAGTACTTGTGACAGCATGAAAGTGGCCAGGCCTGTGGATAGGCCCTGGGGGGCAACTAGGAAGTTAGCAGGGAGGAACCACAAGTTACAAGAGCCCAGTGGGGAGATCCAGATGTATTCCAAAACGTAAAAGGTCAAGAGCCAGGGGTCAGAGAACCAGTGACAGGCTCCAGTGAAAATCCACGATCAGGATCAAGGAAGCCAAGCCAAGTCAGGATGCCAGGAAAATCAGAGAGAACACAACCAGCACTTAGTTTCAGGAAAGATCCAAGATCAGGGTCAGGCAAAACCAAGCCAGGTCATAAGTTAGAAGAACCAGGGAAAGTTACACAAGGCTTGCTGAAACAGACTGAAGCTGTGTGAAGGCATACCTGCAACCTCAGGCTGCGGGTATGTTTAAAAGGGGTGAGTTGTGCTTTCAGCCGCCAATCCAGTTGCAGAGAACTGGGTCAGCCACATCAGCGAGGGATCAGAGGCAAGTGTGGTAAATCATGTACTTGGCTCAGCCAGGCCTGCTTGATGATCAGACTCCCTGACAGTACTTTCCATCAGTAGGTCTCAAAGTACTTTTAAGGTCAATTTCCCAATTTTCCTGATAAAGTTTGTATGGTGCAAGGGTGGCCAACCTGCAACATAAGTGCCACAAGTGGCACAGGCAGCCTCTGTGTGGTACATGGCTGAACATGAAGGAGACAGCCAGCACAGCAGCAGATCAGGTAAGAAGCAGAAAGCAAAGGAGTAGGTCGGGTAGCAAGCAAGGGCAGGGAGCAGAAAGCAGAGAAGATCAGGCAGAGGAAGGGGATGGGAGTGGCACTCAGGGAGGTCATGGGGCTAACCTGTGGCATGACTACCAAAAAGGCTGGCATCCACTGGTATAGGGTCAACTACACAGGGGGAGAATCTGAATGAGACAGTACATCACCGTAGCAGTGAGCATCAGCAGGCATGAACTGTGACACCGCTGCTATTGCACAGTAGGGTTGGAAACGACCCGTGCAGAGCCGGGACTGCACAGTACAGGTGGTTACTGCATAGTCATTTAGTACTTGCTAAAGTACTTGCCTTAGCAAGTACTAAATGACTGCACAGTAGCAACTGAGCAGTCGGGTGCACGTGTACATGAACCTAGAGGAATATAATCAACCTTATCTGCAGAATGGGAGACTGACCTTAAAAGTACTTTAAGATCTACTGATGGAAAGTACTATATAAAAGCTGGGTATTAACTATTTTATGCAGTATTTCCAAACAATTATACCGAGTGGATTCTTAAAGGTGTTAGTGACCTATTAACACAATAATTGGTTTATATAGTCTGAGCAGCCATGCCACACTGAATGTCCTCAGCCTAGTTAATCTAAATGCCCCTGCTTTCATATGATCTTGAATGCTAAACAGTCCTCAGACTAGTTAATACTTGGGTGGGAAACCTTAGAAAGCCAGATAGCTGTAGATACAAGCCATGCAGTTGCAGTTGGATACCTGGTGAATACAAAACAACAGAAACTAAGGGTGCATACAAGCATTACATTTAGATCACCCTAAAGATGCTCAGAGTGATTTAAATGGTCAGGTGTAGAGTCCACAGGGCTTAAGTCATGCTAAAAATGGTGTGCCCAATCTAAAATGTGATCTTGGCAGTCAAGAACTAACTTTATATCAGCCTGGGGTAACCCACCCTAACATGGGTTAACCCAGCCTACTGAAAGCTTGCACAGGTCCCCAGTACAGCTCTGGGGCTGCGAAAACCCAGTCACGCTCTACAGCCCCAGGGCTGTGCTATCTTTAACCCCTCCACTCTGACCAGGCTAGTTTATCCCACTCCCCCAAACAACACACTGTTGGACCAGGCAACCCCAGGCAGACAGCCACCCCCTTCCCCTGCCACAGATCTGCCAACAACCCCCACCCCCCAATGCCTCCAGACCTCCCCCTGCTCCCTCCCACAGGCTTACTTGCCTCCGGCTGCCCACACAAACAGTTGTGTGCAGTGAATCCCAGCTCTGATGTAGGCAGCTCAAAGCAGGTTGCCTAACCTGAGCTGTTCCGACTGCTTGTGAGCTCCCTAAATGAGCATCAAGGCTGTCTTCAGCCCCATTGCTGCTGAGGAGCTGTTGGATGGGAATAAAAGGAAACTGGATACTGCAGAGAAACCTTACAGCCTACAGGTACAAGAGACAACAGGGTTGGAAAACCAGTGACAGAAGTAAATTAACACATTGCTGACAGATCTAATGTTGTAAGCTCCATTTTTCCTGAGGGAGGCCTGTTTACGAAAGATATAAAAGATTATAATAACCCTGTTTCCGGGCAACACTCAGAATTAAGCCCACTGTTTGAACTTAGGGATGAATATTTCAGCTCATATAAATGGAGTAGACAAGAAGCAGGAAGCTAGTGAATGAAGTCTAGGAAAATCTCTTCTGTATCATGTGAAATATTGTTATCTTTTTAGAAACAATTTTCAATCCAGCTCCTTACTGTCATTTTTCTCTAGGATTGCAAACCAGAAGCAATTCCTTTAATGTGGTCTAAGCTGTTAAGTTTTAGACAAACAACAGGCCAGCATAAAACAACATATATAAATGTGACAAATGCCTGTGTCATTCAGATTTCCCTTCTAGTGTACTTTGTAGCAAAGT